GCCCGGCCGCGCTGTCACCACACTCCTGCCTCCTCCCCGCACGCGCCCCTCCCCCGCCGCCAGGGCCGGGTTAATGAGGGTGATTAGCGCCCCATTAGGATGAGCCCCACGCTCGCGGTTCTGGAGCTAATTCCTGCGTGTGCGCGTGCAGGGCAGGGACGGCGCGGCGGCGGCTGCGGCGCTAGCCCAGCTCGGCGGCACAAACTGAAACCCTAGCCGCTGAGATCGATAACCGAGGAGTAAGTGGAGCTGAAAATGCGTCTGACTTGGGGCTCGGTACCGTGGGCCTATAGCTTCCCAGAAGGGAGCGGAGGACCCAGAGCTCGGAGCAGGGGGCGCGAGACTCGGTGGGGGTCCCTAGAACCCACAAAGGCAGACGCTGACCCACCCCGACTCGAGACCCTCTGGTGTCCTCGCCCCCCCGCCGCTTCTCTCGCCTCTCCTCCCTACCCGGAGTGCGGAAAGACCCTGGGAAGGCTCCCTGCGGGGAGCGAGGGGAACCTGGGGGCGGCGCGGCGGGAGAGCCGGAGAACTTCCTCCAGCCGGCCGCACGCCCCCTGCACCCGGGGGCCACGCAGAGTTAATCGTGGCTTCTGTGTGGCACAAGCGCGCGGCCACACTCTCGGGCCAGATTTAAGGTGGTCGGGAGCAGACGAGGGAGACCGAGGGATGAGAATCCTCTCCTCTGCTCCCACTCCGCCCCCACCGGGCAGCTAAAGCTGGCTCCCTGCCTGCCCCTTCCCTTTCTCGGCACCCCCGGCAAGCCCAGGAATCGGGTTGGAAGCGGAACGGCTCCGAAGTAGCTGCTCTCTGTCTCCCCTGGTGCCCCCTCCACCCCCTCGCCGCACTTGCGCCCCACCAGCATCGCTCCGTCAGCCTGTGCGCTTCTAGCCCTAAAGGTAGGAGTTGAATATTTTAATAGGGCAGTAAAAATGATGCTGACCTATATTTGCAAAGAAACCCATTTCTAGCTTCAGTTATATATGCATGGAGTTTCAGAAAGTCTGGAATTGGCAGGTAGATTTTTAGCCCAGATGTCTCAAAGGAGATGGGCAAGGGGAAAGGATTACTATTTTGCTTTGGTTCTCCTTTCCACCCCCTTCCTATTAATATTTATTCCCTCGTAATTTGTATGCAAGCTGATTGAAAACTGGAGTGATGCAATGCCAATAAGTTCTAAGTCCCTCCCCTAAGGTACCTCGGGCTTGGGAGAATGAAAGAGCATCCTTAAAGAAATATCAATATATTCACACTCCGATGGGCACAATTGCACTCGATGGAATCGCAATGCAAGCTATGTGATGCAGTCATGGACAGCCAGAGCAGCCTCCGAAGACACTGCCTTTTGTCAGAACCGCCTCCCTAGCTTTTCCAGTGGAAGATTCTTTGGTGGGGGGCTGTGGGGTGGGGGTAGTCATGGGAAGAAAAACCACAGAGGTGAGGGGGAAAGTCTGAGCTTGGAAATCTAAAGCTTCAAGCTTACATTTGTAACAGTGACCTGAGGCCACTTTATGTTTATGGGGGGATTCCCACCCCGCTCTCTGCATCTCCACTCCTGACTCTCCAGTAAAGCCGCAGACTTGGAAAAGGCAGACGCCCCGAAAGTGAAGGTCTCTCCAAGTTACAAGCCAGAGCAGAGCCAGGATGGGGAAGGCCATAGTGGTAACACAGATAAGAAATCAGGGCCATAAATGCGATCACATCCCCAACCGTCCTCACCCCCGCCCATACTCTAAACTTCTGGACCCGTAGCCTCCATTCCTCCAGGAAGAGGAAGGGGTGGCAGGTGGGTAGGAGGGTGGGGAAGGACAGACTGAAATCGCCTTTGAATCTGCTTAAAAAGCAAAGAGACCAAGTCTAGAAAGGCTTCGTTCCACGTAGCTCCCTTTAAAGGAACACATTCCACGCCCCAGCGCTAGGTTTCTACCTGAGTCATCAGCCGGTCCGCTCCGGTGTTTTCTTCATCCTTAAATATGATGTCAGGGTTGTAATTGGGGGTGAGTTCCTTAAATCGCTCGGAGTTTCTCGAGATCTTCCCTTCGTATCTTCCACTGGCCCCTAGGGTCTTCTCGGCCACATTCGGGATAAACTGTTTGTAGGCTAAAGGGGTCAGCTTTTTGGGGTGTCTCCTCTTCCCAAATCCCCTGCCGGGTCCACACGCCAGCCCCGAGCATATCAACAGCGAGGAGACGAGGACCACCACCAGACATCTCGCCAGCAGCAGCATCTCGTCCATGGAGCCCAATTACTTCCAAGCTCTCCCGTGTGTGTCTGTGTGTGTGAGCGTGTGTGTGCGCGCGTGTGCGTGTTCGCTCTCTCTTGCGCTCTCCCTTTCTCGCTCCGGCTCGCTTGCTCCCTTGCTCTCTCCCTCGCTCTCTTTCTCTTCCTATATAACCTTGCCCGCCGCCGCCGTGTGGGACTCTCCACCGATCCCCAGCCAGACAGGTGCTGGAATGGCAGGCTGCCGGTCTCTGATAACGGAACACATCGGAGTTGGGTCGCGAGACAGCAATCAAAAGACAAAAAGAGTCTGATTTTAAATGGTAGCAAGCCTAGAGACGCTTGTGAGAGAGGCTGCCTTTAGTACTATATTATAGCTGGCAGGGGCGTATCTGATTGGCCAAGGCAACACAAGCTTGTCTTCTGATGTTTAACCCTCAAAAAGGCTACAATTTTTTTTTTTCTGTTGCTGCTGCTGCTTTATTTTCACCTGAAGGCTTCGAGTAAAAAAAAAAAAATCTTTACTAAAACAAAGGTGGGAGGGAGGGCGGAGGCACATTTCTCGGGATAACATCAGTTATACCCTGCTTTGTGTGTATCTATGTTTCCCCCTTTCTTAGGAATGGTAGGTGCTTCAGTTAAAACCAACTTAAGTTTTTAAAGGACAGTGAAGACCCCCCAAAGCTTTGATCATCAAACAAATATCGCCTCAAATGTTTGAGGGGCAAAGCTTGCCAGCTCTTATTTAAAATTGTTAGGGATTTTAGCATTCAGGACAGGTCTCCCTGCCTGTTAAAGAAAGAGGTATCTGAGCCTCCTCTGCCTGAATGCTCAGCATCTTTGGAGGAAGGATAATTATGAGTGTCCACAACTCAGTGTAGTGTAGTTGAAGTGCTTCAAATGCCTTAGAAAAACTTTAAAATACTGCCACTTTATTGTGTTTGTATCAATGCATTGGTCCTGCAGATGGGATGGAGATGTGTTCAGGGCAGGTACAGAGTGAGCTGATGGACTGTCAAGGTCCAAGGGCAGTGGGTCTCAGGTGCCGGACACCCCCAGCTCTGGGAAGGGAGCCTGAGCTTGTGTGTGCTGTGGGCGGAGGCTCATTGTGCCTGGAGGGCAGCGGTGAGTGGGCAAGGCTTTGCAAACACCACCCCCACAGATCAATAGGAGCAAAGTGCAGGCCAAGGGATGAGTGTAGTGTAAAGTTAAGGCTCCTTGCCATGGCGTCCAGTGCTGGCTCTACATGGAGCTGGCTACATGATGGGCGCTGCAGCCTAAAGGGGTGCAGGGGGCCTGGAGGAACTCATGCTCTGGTCAAATAGGGGTATCCCAGTGTCCAGACGTCAGCAATATGAGACCCCAATCCCTGCACTTCTTCCAGAAAACACACACAACTTTCTAATTAAACCAGAAAAATACAACCTGACACTCCCTCTTTTTACAGAACATACCCCCATCTCAACCTCCCCCCATTCCACTCTTATACAATAATTCCCCTGGAGTGGGGCAAGGGAGTAAGGGTTATTCATGTGGAATAGAAATACTGACCCTGAGAAATAATCAGATACCGCAAATGTTGGCCTCTGAAGTTCAGTGTTCTGCCTTGACCCCAAACCATCCCAGTGGAGTGAGAACAGTCTGAAGGTTCAACCAGCAAAACAGTGGGAAGTTGCCAGCAGTCCATCAGTGTTCCTATGCCCAAAACTTTTCTTTTTTGGAGGGGGGCATCTTAAGGGACATCTAGCTTCAGTCTAGAGATATCAGCATTATCCACTCTGTCCACCCATCTGGCCCCTCTCCAAAGGTTGCCAAGTTCCCCCACCCCATCTCTCTCTCTTTTCTATTCTGTAGTTTTTGAAGAATCAAACTATCGAGCCTAGGAAGAGCGCTGACCCCTGGGCAAGGTGGGAAGGCAGCACCCAGCTTTATTCAGAAAGACTCAGGCAGGAACGAAGAGTTCTCCAATTAGCCGGAGACAATACAACACTGTTGATAAATCACCCTGGGCTTAATTTATTGTCCAGGGTGTGTGTGTGTGTGTGTGTGTGTGTGTGTGTGTGTGTGTGTGTGTGTCTATGTCTGTGTATTGTGTGCTCCCAGGAAAAACTGATACAAAAAAAGATATAATGCCCTATACCAAAGAGGGTCGGCTTGTTTGATGTGGTTACCTTGGGTAGCACGTGTTGATGTAATATCACTAAATAGTGCCGGGGTTTAAGAAGCGATCCAGACCGTGTGGGATACTTGCAAACCTTTTGATCACCCTCCCCCGCCTTGGCACCTCCTTCTTCCCCAATGCCTTTCCTTTCCTTTCCTTCTCTTTTTCACTCTTAGCGCACTCCCCTAAAGACCTAGGTGCCTGCACAGGGCGAGAGCGCCCGGGCGGCGAACCTGCGGGCTGAGGCCAGAGACTCTGGGGCTGCGGGCCGCGCGTGTACCCAGCAGCCAGCAGGGCTCCTGCGGCGCAGACACGCTGGGGAGGCTCGCATCCCGTGCAGGCAATAAACGCACGTGGAAAAATCTTACACCTGCAACGTGCCGGGTGTGGGACTTGGGGTTTGAAAGCAAAAGCCCGAGCTGAAAAGAGTCCGGGCTGCTGGAGCGCGGTGGGCACAGTGTGACCTGAGGGCCCGGCCGGGATCTCCCGGATCAGGAAAGAGCCGAGCGTGCCTCCGGAGGCGCGGTCCCTCCCTCTTCGCAGAGACCAGGAAGGGGACGCCGCCGCGCACTGCACTCGGGCTCCCTCGGAGGCTCCCCGGGAGGGCCGGCAGCGAGGCCACCTCCCTCCTCGCCATCTGCAGCCAGCCCTGGAAACCCCGGAGAGCCTGTCAGCGGCCGCCTTCCAAGGGGCTCGGCCGGATCCTCCCGGTTCAAAGAATGATGGACAAATCACTGTAAAATCCGCCACTGACGCCTTCTTCCGGAGGGCTTGCTCCCTGTCGTGGGCTGAGGGGGGTAAAAATCAACCGCAGTTCGTAGGCATTGTCTTAGGAACTCAGGATCTGTATTACAGGGCGCCCAGCCGAGATACCCGGTGCAGCGGCGGTCTCCGCGCCTCCCTCCCCCTCCCACTTCCCCTTTCCTTTCATCTCGCCCACTTCCCATTTCCCAGACACCAGACACTCACTCTGTCTTCCACCTCCAGACACCAGATGGCTCCCTCTCTTTGCCTTTCCCCCTCCAGACACTTCAGCCCCTCCCTCTGCCGGTCAGCGGTTCCAAACCCCAGCCGTTTCCTTCTGTCTGCCGCGGCCAGACGTCCCGGGCCGCCCGCAGGATCCATCTCTGATTTATCTGAGCTCTCCTCTTCTTTCTGGTGGTCAGCCACATCTACCCAGCCAACTCTTCGTCCCTCTACCGCCCGTCTCTTCTTGCATCCTGCCATCCCCGCGGGGACTGGTGACTGCCTCTGTCTACTGCTCCAGCCCCGCAGGAGGCGCCCTTCCTCGGAACCGCACTGTTCCCTCCATTCCGACCCCAGCCGCTAGATGGCCTCCTCACTCTGCCTTCGGCTTCTGAAGTGCCGGGTTCTGGTTTGGATGTGTTTGGGAAATTCGTGCAGAACCCGGTTGGGAGGCCCAGGAGCGGGGCTAGCCCGTTTCTCCATCCTCCCTTGATCCTGGTCCCAGGTTCTGTGCAGACCTTCACGCCCCTTTGTATTCACTAAACCCCTGTCCTCAACTAAGCCCCTACCTGTGACATTGCTCCCAGTTCTCCATCGACTTCCAGTCTCTAGGCTCTGGCTCTGATCTTACATTTCCCATTCCCCACCGCCCCTCCTCTCTCTCATCTATTTTCCTTATGATGATGATACGCAACATCTTTGCAGCCAGTCACTCAGTTTCAATTGAATTTCTGGTGGTGATTACAATCTCCTTGTAATCACCAGCCGGGGACCCTCTCTTTATTTTGGAGGCACTGTTATCCTAATCCCATGGCATGTCCCCAATTCACTCTGTTGGGACAGGAGGGAGGGAAGCGGGAGAACGGTCTCTGGGTTTAGGGTTGAGTCCCCAGGTCCTGGACAGCACCAGGCTCTCTGTGGCCCAGGAGGACCAGGGACGGCAGCCACCATTCACTGACCGTAAGCGGAGAAGCAGGCAAAAGCCTGGAGCAGCTGTAGGGAGCCCTCCACCCACTTGTCTGCCACCACTGAGGCCTCACTCTCACTGCAGCTGAGGTCTGGCCTGCAGCAGCGGTGGCAGGAGCAGCTGGGGAAACAGCAGCCAAGACAGACAAGACAGCTCTGCTGCTGGCTGGGTAAGGAGCTGATCTCGGTGGCGCATGTGTGGGCTTGATGCTGGCTGTGGACCGTTACTCAGCATTGCAGTGCAGAGGGGGGAGAGGGCACTGCCAGGAGGGACAGGAAGCCTGGGCAAAGCCCCTTTCCTTCATGGCCTGGGGTCAGACCTCTGACTTCCTGGGCCTTCCTGAAGTGCTTTCTCTGGAGGAAGGAGGTAGTGCAGGTGATATCCTGCGGTCCCTACGACTGCAGTCATTACTCTTGCCAGTTCTGTTCACCAAACACTTGTTGGGCACCCTTGATGCACTAGGGGCTGGAGACATTGAGGAGATGTGTGGTTTCACGCGTGTGTGACTTTCAGTCTGTTTCTCTTCCACGTCACATGGAGCTTTCTGGCACGCAGCGGCAACGGCGCTTTCCCAAGAACATTCACACTCCAGGTCTGATTTGCTCCACACACGGTAGACAAATAGAGCGGGTATTGCTGTTGTTGTTGGGTGCCGTTAAGTTGATTCCAGCTCCTAGTGACCCCATGTGACAAGGTGGAACTGCCCCATAGGGTTTCTTGGCTGTGATCTTTATGGAAGCAGATCACCAGGTGTCTCCTGCAGAGCTGCTGAGTGGGTTCAAACTGCCAACCTCTGGGTAAGCAGCTGAGTGCTTAACTGTCTTTGCCACCAGGGCTCCTTAGAGCAGGTATTAATATCTGGATTTTACAGATGAGGACACTGAAATGCAATTCTTGGTGACATTTGAAAGCACGCAGCCAGCTACTGAGAAAAAAAGCTATATTTTGAAAAGTAGATATGCTAAGGCAAGAAGTAAGTTTAATCTGGATATTAAATATGTTGCTTATGAATTTGTGCTGACTCCCTCTCTTCAAACCATTGCTTTACTTTGCTGAGT